GCTCCATGTTGGACAAGACTTCATACCCCAACAAGAAAAACCGTCACTGTGTACAAGAGCATGCTCAAACATCTCCCTGACAACTAAGTCAGTTGACCTAAATCTTTTTTAAGTTCTTGTATTTTGGAATATCATTCCTATGAATCTTTTGTTAGGTGTTCCTTTTGATGTATTTTGGTAGGTGTTTCTTTAGATGTATGTATCAAACATAATTAACGAAATCTCCTGGATATCATTCCTATGAATCAAACTACTCTTACTTTTTGTTCTTCGACAACATAAAATCTCTTGCATAAACTTATAACAATACAATACAAAAGAAAAGTTGTTCACGTACGAAGTACAAACTTTTAATCATACTACTCCTACTTTTAAAGTTTTTTTCTATTTAACCTCATAAGTCAAAACCAAGTTTGTAATAGTCATTAGAAAAAGTTGCAAGTTGGATCCCCCAAAATGAACAGTTGTTCATGCACGATCCTGTGAAGTTTATACATTGATTTTAAATGGTAAAATTGTCTTTTCTGAAAATAGCCAACAGCTCGGTGACAGAGGGTGGCAGCAATCTGATGGCAGTTTTCGAGTAAATGAAGAAGAGGATGTATTAGAGGGGAGGGGGGGGGGGGTGGAAGTAGATTGCAGTTGATTTTTATTATTAATAAAATCAGTTGATAAATATAATTTAGACAAAATGTCAAGAATAATCCATTTGGTATGGAAAATTCGATTTTACCCTCACATGATTAGATTTAACAGAAGAAAACTGATCTAGTCACCCAAAATGACCATACATTAAAAGTTTTTAAATCACAGAGACCATGGTTGATAACCTAAAAAATTAATGACTGAATTTGATTCTTTTGAAAACCACATAGACCAATTATAAAGATTTTCCTATAACATAACATAATAAACAAACATAAACAAATGTTCATCTGTGTATACGAACGAAAAAACAATTGTCTGTGTTTGTTAATTTAACTAAAATAATAATAATCACTTCTTATTTTTTTCTTTATGACATAAACGAACATATATTTTTGTGTTGGTCTATTTAACAAAAAAAACTTCTTCTATTTTTTATTTATTTCATAAACAAACATATATAGTGTTAAAAGATAAATTAAAATGAACGAAAGTTGCAAAATAAATAGTCGTAGGGAGTAAAGGTAAAAAAGATCTTCAAAAATAGGTCCCACAAAATTAGAAATCCCATAAATTTGAAGATACAATCTGTGCACCTCGTATATGATTCCTGAAAGTCAATCTTCCTCGCAGAATCATCGTCATGCATGGTTAGCATGATTGATTATTCTCCTACATTTTCTTCTCTTTTTATCCAGTCTATACGTACACATCCCGTATATGCAAGTGGTGATCACTTAATCGTTCTATAGTAATCCAGAAGACCACAAAACTGAGGATGGAAGCGAAAATTCATATCCACCTCTTCCATCTAGATTTCATGATTCAAATGTAGTCAACAGGTATGAACTACGATCTGCAATTATTCTATCTGTCTTTGGTTTTTCAGCGCAATTAATGCTACTACGATTCGAATGCTGATCATCAACAACGAATTTGATTTGCTTCTGACTACTGTATCAGAACCGATGGATAAATTCTTCAAATGCTTTGATACCTCTTTATGAATTAATACTTTATTTTAATTTCCAACATTTCTTCATATGTTTTTCAAAAAAAAAAAGTTAGTGTACGCAATATTTTTTGTTTTTTCTCATCGTTTTTGTTCTCTCCAGCTTCATTAATTTCTAGATTTCATCATCCAGACGTAATTATCAAGCATAAGAATTCTGACATGAAATTATTCTTACATTGCTGTTTTCTTTGTAATTATCGCTTTTATGATGGGAATCATTGCGTTTTTAATTAGTTTTTGCTACTTAGATTGATGATTGTCAACTGTGCACATTGATTATAAAACTGTTTTTAGGAATATTATAGAACCAATTTGTTCTTTGAACTGTAACTGATCACCAAGTTCTTCAAATCCATTCATTATATATCTGAAAATGAAGATGTTATTTTAACGTGAATTTATTGCATTTATTTCGATTCTTCATGTTCCAGCATTTCTAATAAAAAAAACTATTGACGTGTAAAAAGTTATTCACATATGAAGTGAACGTAATCTCGAAGGAAATCCTCGTTTTTGTAATTTACCAATTAATATATTTTTATTACAATATTTAGATTTTTGTACAGCACATACCGATTTGCAGTAGCCTATATGTCATAATGTCAACACAAAACCACAAGCTTGAAGAAAACTAGATGAAAATCACATATGAGATATTATTCTAAAAGTATAAATATATAATATAATAAATTTTCATTTAATATAAAATTAAAAAGAATATAAACATACAATAATATTTTTTCATCTATACAGCAGATTCCGGGTATCAAAAACTTCACGACTTTCCCACTTTCGCACCTTTTATATTAAACTGTTCTATTTTTTTTTAACATATCACGAATCTCTCATATCTGATTATTATTTTTCTTAATGACAATGTTAAACACCTATATGTAACACAGCCTCTATATCCAGTCAACCAAACCTCATTACAAGATGAAGAAATCAATTCTTGCTGCTTTAATGGTAATTCTATCACTACTAATTCGATCAGAAGGAAACGCAAGATCCAAAATCATCAACATGACATGCGATCAACAACTAGAAAACAACATAACCCTCTTCATGCCAAACTTCGTCCGTACAATGGAAATAATCGGCACACTATTGCGAACCTCCCGTAACGGCACCGCCATCTCCGGCACCGGACCCGACGGAAACTACGGGCTCGGCCAATGCTACGGCGACCTTTCACCTCAAGACTGTATCTTATGCTACGCCGAAGCCCGTACAATTCTCCCCAGTTGCTTCCCGCACAACGGCGGCCGGATTTACCTCGACGGTTGTTTTATGCGAGTTCAAAATTACAGCTTTTTTCATGAATATACAGGTCCGAATGATATGGTGGTTTGTGGGAATACGACGGCGAAGAGTGGGTTGTTTGGGGCGGCGGTGAGGGAGGCGGTGGGGAATGCGGTGGTTGAGGGTTCGGGAAATTGGGATTATTTTGCGAGGGGGGAGAGTGTGGTGAATGTGAATGAGTCGGTGTTTGTGATGGCGGATTGTTGGAGGACTTTGAGTCCGGCGGAGTGTAGGAGGTGTTTGGAGAATGCTTCGGCGGCGATTTCGAAATGTCTGCCGTCGACGGAGGGGAGGGCGTTGAATGCCGGGTGTTTTATGCGGTATTCTGATACGGATTTTTTGAATCCTATACCAGTTGCAACTATCTCTAGCAATAGAGGTAAGGAAAATTATAATTTATATTATAGAATTATTTTTTATTATTTCCATACTATTTCTTTTTCCAAATTGTTGATTAAAATAAAAACCAGTTTGTTTTGCAAAATAAATTAGGAAAGAAATGTATATCTTTTATTTTTTAACTTTATTTGAATTTTTTATATATATATATATTTAACAGAATTGAGAAGTGATACATCACAAAATAACCATATTTTTAGAAGTACACATTATGATTGTCGTTTTATGAAAACGGACGTTGGGAAATTAATTTAATTTATAAACTTGTTTTTTGAAAAATCACCCTACAAACTGTAAAGTTTAAAAATATGTATAAAATTGTTTCACATTATTCCTTTCATAGTTAAAAATGTGAAAGAAAATTAGAAAATTATTTTTGATGCAATTTCGCAACGAAATTTCGCCGGCATCGTCGAAAAGTAAATCCAGAAACACCATACTACAAAATATGACTATTTTGTGATATTTGTGAGAAATGGTTATAAATTAATTGAGAATATATTTGACTACAAAGTCTTTTCTTAAATAGTATCAATTGATAACTTATTATGTTTAAGTTTTCTTTAATTTTCTCGTAAATAAAATTTCGTTAAATATAGTTAAAATTACATACTGCTTTTACATGAAATACCTTTGTGATTCAATTTTAGTTTGTATGTATCTCTTCTGATGAATTTTTTGTTTATGGTTTTTGTAGGGATGGTACTAGCTATCGTGGTTTCCATTGTTAGTTCCGTGACAGTCCTCACAGTTGCTTTGATGATCATTTTGTATATCATGAAACACAGACTTATACAAAAGAAGAGAAGAGGTATAATATAATCCATTCATTCTACACCATTGTGAACTTGCAAAAAATTTAGTGTAAAACTAGGGAAACAAACAAATGATTGGTTAATATTTCAGGCTCTTATGATGCAAAGAAATTATCAAAGATGCTTAATGACAGTAGCTTAAATTTCAAATACTCGACTATTGAAAAAGCCACGGCGAATTGGAACGAATGCAATAAGCTCGGACAAGGAGGATTCGGAACTGTCTACAAGGTACTATTTTATAGTACACCTGCTCAGTCATCTAATATTAGGTGACTGGATTTTAGTCATCTGATATTATATTACTGACTTCTAGTCATTTGAAATCAGATGACTGTCCCACTTAGTGGGACAGTCATCTAATATTTAAATAACAACTAATGCGAAGTGAGAAATATCTATCTATCAGGGTGTTCTTTCAGATGGGAGAGAAATAGCTGTGAAGAGGCTCTTCTTCAACAACAAATTTAGGGCAACTGATTTCTATAACGAAGTTAACATGATTAGCAGTGTTGAACACAAAAACCTTGTGAGGTTGTTAGGATGCAGTTGTTCAGGGCCCGAAAGCATTCTCGTATACGAATATCTACCTAACTTGAGTCTTGACCGCTTCATTTTCGGTAAATTTCAAAATTCATGATTCTTAGATTGTGTGGTGTATAATGTATTTATGAAGAATTTGTGAACTTTCTATAGATGCAACAAAAGGCAAGACCCTAAACTGGCAGAAAAGATTTTTAATCATTAGTGGTACAGCAGAAGGTCTAGTCTACCTTCATGAAAACACCAAGAACCGGATTATTCATAGAGATATCAAAGCTGCTAACATCTTGTTAGACTTGAGACTTCGCGCTAAAATAGCCGATTTTGGGTTGGCCAGATCTTTTCAAGATGATCAAAGTCACATCAGCACTGCGATAGCTGGAACACTGTAAGTATTTTCATTTGTGCCACGTCAGCTTTCTTTCTACATTCCTAATTTTAATTTTTATTTCAACTTCACTAGAGGATATATGGCTCCAGAGTATCTAGCCCATGGCCAGTTAACTGAAAAGGCTGATGTCTATAGCTTTGGTGTTTACTTTTGGAGATTGTCACCGGTATGGAAAACAACAAAAGCAAAACCGCAGAATATACAGACAGCTTAGTGTCTATTGTAAGTATAATAATTTCATCTGGTACAAAATAAAATATAACTTATTTCTAATTAAAAATATTCTTTTTATGTTGTATTAGGCATGGAATCATTTCCAGGAAGATACTGTTGAGGAAATATTCGACCCGAATCTAATGATGCAGCATTATGTCAACACAAATGACCTCAAAGAAATTAAAAAGGTGATACAAGTGGGACTTCTTTGCACACAAGAAGCTCCATCTTTAAGACCATCAATGTCAATGGTACTAAAAATGTTAGCAAAAGATGAAACTTTACCCCTCCCTTCTAATCCACCTTTCATAGATGAAAAAACCATGGAACTAAATGACATATCAGAAAAGTTACGGTTTTACAATTACGGGGATAATGCTTGTTCCATCGCTACTGTTTCCCACAGTGATTTCTACCCGAGGTAATGGAAAAAAAACTTGTTTTCCATATTTCTCTATATTTTATTTCAAAAATTAATTATTTATATTTGTTTAAATGATTTGGTGTGTTACCTTTCGATTTGCGAGAGGCTAATCATAAAACACCAGGTATTTTTAATGTATTGTAATATCAGTAACCTATATGAGGATACATGTTAATGATCAATACAATTATTTAGTCATTGATTTTCATGTTTTGACATTATTAAATCGTTTTATAAACATTGTTCAACGATAATTACCTTACTTATATTGGTTCTATATTTTAAGTACGGACAACCTACATTCATAAATAACAATTTACGTTTGGATATGTAAGGTTCTTGTGTATTAATATTAGGGAAAATGACTAAGGAAGGTAACCAACTCTTGATTCTATTCACATTTGGTCCCTTTGCTTTTTTTGTACGCAATTAACATCGAACTTGTTGTTTATGTTCACCTTAACCCGTTTAACCGGCTATCACAAGTGATAGCCGATCAAAAGGGTTATGGCGTACACAAACAAAAAGTCTGATGGTATATTGCGTACAAAAAAAGGAAAGTTAACAAAATAAACGGTTGGTTATCCTCCTTAGTCATTTTCCCTATTTTCCCAAAAGCAAGGTTTCATTTTATTTTACTAAAGAAAACATTAGTGCATAGTGAATCAGGCCCTGGTTTTTACATTTTACTCATTGCCCTCTTCTCCTCTTATCAAATTTATCATTAGAAAGGGTCCGATGATACTCATTAGATATCTTAAGTAAATCCATCTCTTGACCTACTAGTATATTCAAAAAAGATAAAATATAGTTTTGTTCATTGATAAAGGTTTGTATTAACCATCCTTATCATCTAAAGAAACCCTATAAGTGTCCTCCTCGAAATCATTAGAAAAAGTTTGGCAAGAGTTTCCATCAGTTCGATTATGATGATCAACATCAACTTTAGCATTTGATGTTGATGTTATACATGTTTGTGGACTTCACATTATAAGAGAAGAACTAACCATCAAAACTTAATGTTTTATATTATAATTATTTGTACTTTGATTTGTACTTGTTGAACGATTTTGCCAATAATAGTTGACGAACATGTAATTGGACTTGACATATACTATCTTATTGATTTCCAATTCATATTTCAACTCATTTGTAATAAAAGGGAAAATGACTAAGGAGGGTAACCAACTGTTGATTTTATTCACAATTGATCACTTTCCTTTTTTTTGTATGCAATTTACCATCGAACTTGTTGTTTATGTTCACCACAACCCTTTTGACCGGTTATCACCTGTGATAGTCGATCAAAAGAGTATTGGTGAACACAAACAACAAGTTCGATGGTATATTGCATACAAAAAAAGGAAAGTAATAAAATGTGAACAAAATCAACACTTGGTTACCCTCCTTAGTCATTTTCCCTATTTTCCCAAAAGCAAGGTTTCATTTTATTTTACTAAAGAAAACATATGTGTATAGTGAATCAGACCCCGATTTTTACATTTTACTCATTGTCCTCTTCTCCTCGTATCAATGTTATCATTAGAAAGGGTCCACTAATACTCATTAGATATCTCAAGTAAATCCATCTCTTGACCTCCTAGTATATTAAAAAAAAAAGATAAAGTATAGTTTTGTTCTTTGATAAAGGTTTGTATTAACCATCCTCGTCATCTAAAGAAACCCTATACATGTCCTCCCCGAAATCATTAGAAAAAGTTTTGGCAAGAGTTTCCATCAGTCTGATTAAGTTGATCAACATCAATTTTAGCATTTGATGTTGATGTTATACATGTTCGTGGATTTCACATCCATACGAGAAGAACTAACCATCAAAACTTACTTAATGTTTTTTATTACAATTGTTTGTACTTCGATTTGCACTTGTTGAAAGATTTTCCAACAATAGTTGACGAACCCCTTTATTCCTCCAAACATGTAATTGGACTTAGTATATACTATCTCATTGATTTCCAATTCATATTTCAACTCATTTGTAATAAAAGGAAAAATGATCAAGGAGGATAACCAACTGTTGATTTTATTTACATTTGGTCACTTTCCTTTTTTTTGTACGCAATATACCATTAAAGTTGTTGGTTATGTTCACCATAACCCATTTGACTGTCTACCACCTGTGATAACCTATCAAAAGGGTTATGGTGAACAGAAACAACAAGTTCGATGGTATATTGCGTAGAAAAAAAAGGAAAGGGACCAAATGTGAACAAAATCAACAGTTGGTTACCCTCTTGAGTCATTTTCCCTTAATATTAACAATCACTATTATTTACTTTTTTTTGGAATCGGCGAGATGTATTAAGAAACACTGCGTGCCTAGCAAGTCACTAGACACGAGCAAAAACATGAAAGTACTAGAATATTATACAAAGTTAAAGGGAGAAAGACACCAATCAACCCAATGGATATGAACATTTTTACCCCTAAATTTCCGCCAAACATACAAACTAGAAATAATACCATCAACAATTTTTGAAATAGAAAAGCATCTCATGTTAAAGATAAGATCGTTTTTTGCCTTCTAGATACCTAATATTACTCCATAACATATAGTTAGCAGTTGTTTCCTCTTTTTTGAATATCTACCCCATTTTGTTGTAAAGTGAAGCATACCCTTCATTGATTGCATTGGAATACTTGATAACCCACACCAAGAAAGATTTGATCCTTGTTAACGATATGATTTTGAAAATTTATTGTTATCTTCTTCTACTCTTATCAGTTAGTTTATGATAGTTGTACTTCTTATCTTCATATTGTAATCTATACATAGATCAACTGAATACAATAATAAATCGATACATCTTTGTTGGATTAGTGTCTAAGTCCATAACTATAATTGGTATGTATTCGACCCGACTTGGCATGGTCCATTTGGGTTGCACTTCACCGGAACAATTTATATGGATAGTCTTTTGAGAATAGTATGTTTATGATTTATATTAATATATTATAAGTTCTAATATAAATATGGAATCATATTATTTAATTAGTATTGATCAATAATTAATTTATAATTAATTAGTGATCAAAAAGGAACTAATTAAATATGGACTCTTATATATATATATAATATATATATATATATATATATATCTATATATATATTATATATATATATATATATATATATATATATGGAATGGGTCAAGTTCATTTAGGTTGGGCTAAGCTTTCATGGATAGTCCATGGAGTGCTTAACCCATGGATCCTATGTAAATGAAAGGTCATGGGTATTAGGGTTTACATGAATGTACCCTAATCCTCCATACTATATATAAAGAGGTCCTTGGCACTTGAAATTGCACTAGTGTGTGAGAACAAAGGGTGGGCCGATTTCTAGAAGTGCTTGCTATTCTCTCAAGTTTTCCAAGGTATTTTTGGTGATTTGTGATTCCATTTGAGGCTTCCACACTATTGGGGCTAAGCTCTTAAAGTTCAAGACTTCAATCTACACCAAAAGGTATGTTATCTAACTAGGCTTTTGTAGTATATAGTTACTTCATATTATGCTATTTAGGATGAAACCTTGGAATATTGAATATTTGCATGTATAATAGAGAAAACATAGATCCAAGGTTTATAGGGTTGCATGTACACCATAGGAGTGTTAGAATGCTCAAAACCTATCAGTGGTATCAGAGCCTAGGCTTGTTTTCTTTTATACTTGATGCAAATTGTTGAAAATCGAAGTTTGTATGATGTCTGGTCAGCTGACTCGCTGCGTCCATTAAGAGACTCGGCGAGTCCATGCCTAAATTCATCCAACTCGTCGAGTTGGTTCATGCACTCGACGAGTCGGACCCCCTGACAGCATATCTTCGAGTTTTAAGGCTGGAATTGATCTAGAATCATTACCTTAAACTGTTTTAGACTTATAAAACCCGTTTTTTATGTGGTAATGATTATGGTAAACCAATTTCAAAGTTGTTATCGAAATTTCAAGCTTTATGTGTGTTTATGTAATTCTTGAAATTGTTGATATGATTGTTCATACACTTATGAGTTTTGGGAGATCATAGGAATTATTTGCAAAATTGTTTGTTAGATTAATTCTTGATCTAAATGTGTTTTAATGGAGTCCATAATTTATCCTCAAGTAATGGACTACCAAAAGACATTTCTTTTAAAGATCCATTAAAATGCATAGGTTACAAAATTGAAGAGTCTTTTTGTTTTATGAACTCCATAACTTATCCTCAAGTTATGGATGTTCAAGAGTCTCTTCATTAAAGTTTTTAAAACCTTAATTAAACTCATAAGTTATGAAAAATCCAAAAGTTTTTGAATAGTTCAAAACTTGCCCTCAAGTTTTGGAATTTGTAAAGTCTAACACACACTTTAATTTCCAAACCCTAGAGTTTTAAAAATTAAAATTTAACCCTTATACTTTATGGTATTATAAGTTAGTAATATATAAATGTATAAGAGCAAGTCAGTCTTACCGTTAGTAGGCCTTATTCACGAAACCGGTCTATAAGGGGGGTATAAGGTTACTGCCTATAAAATGGCAGTTTAATGGGTGTCCATTCTCACCCACCGCTTCCTTGACTGGTGGAGGGTCGTTAGCCGAATGGGTAGGACAAGGACTATAATTCTCATTATAAGTATAATGATAAATATAAAGTAACTAAACCTTTTATAAATTCCCAATCTTAGTTACTTTAGGAAAATGTGAATTTGGTGCTAACCCATGAAATTACACTTTGCACTTTGCTTAAGTCGTTAGTGGAGCGTGTGTGGTTAACCGGCACACTAACCTGGACTTAACAAGGTAGGCAAATGGTAACTTAATGTTTGTCGTAGGATCGGTGGAGCGCGTGTGGTTAACCGGCACATCGATTAAGTGATAAATATTAAGGGTACCAAGTATATTTGCATGTTTATTCACACCTTGTTTTGTGATCCTCGGCATCCCAGTCATAAAACTTGAGAGGGCACAATCGAGACTGAAACATGCCATTGAAAAGTTCAATGAATCTCAAAAGATCTAGGAGTTTCAAATCCAATTAAAAGCTAATATTTCTATTTCGTTTTTCATGGTGGAAACTGGTGAATCATCAT